CGGCCAAAATAATATTAATAAAAAATTTTTATTTTGAGCAAAAATCGGGCGTTACTTTTGATGGCTACTGTACATATGTATTGATCTACAAATTGCATAAATTATATTCTTGATATGTGGGATACTATTCCAGATATATGCAGCGCTATGGTATCTAACGATCAGAAATCACTTGATCGCGATTTTTTTTTACAAGTATTCTATCTAGAGACAGGACTCGTCTCAACTTGCGGTTAATGAATTACGCGCAAGAAGTACTCAAAATATTTGATTGAGTCAATTTATTCGAATCGCAAAATTTAAATTACAATTCATAGAAACAGATATGGGTGCCTCTGGAAATAATAGAGGTTTTAGAATTAAAAAAAATAGTGCATTTCTGGAGTTTAAAAAATCTTATTTGTGTATCGAATAGGAGTATTAAAGGCTCCCATTTAACGAAATAAATAAAACTTTTCAACGACTAAGATCATTTCAGAAAATGAAATAAAGTTATACATCACTCATTTGAAAATGAACATGTCATCTATTTCTGTCAAAATTAGATTCCCGCACTTTAGTTTTGAAATCCCTAATCCGGTGTTGGGAAGATTACTATGTCAAAATCAATTGGACATATGTCCAAAACCAATTGTGGCGCAGTTTTTTGTCCAATTTTCCAAATCGTGATTAACTCAATTTAGAATTACGCTAGTAATTTATTTATGTGATTTTTTGTGCATGTTCATAATAAGTTTAATTTCTAGGATTTGCATTTCCTATTGCGCTCCTTTTATTCAGAATTTAAAATTTATTAGCCTTAATTCGGGCCATACTTTACTAGAACTCTAGCGTTACCAACCCAAAGATTTTATTAAAAGAACTTTGCTGTTAAATTAAAAACAGAATTTGCTATTATATTAGGTAAGAAAGAACTTCGTTAATGCAAAAAATTCACGGGTTAACCTTTTTTAGTGCATTGAATGTAGAGCAGCTAAAGACTCCCAGCGCATAGGCAGGCGCATGACTTGTTAACCAATAGCAACCAAAGTGTGATCAAAAAATTTTTGGAAGGATCTACGTTTTTGCGCATTCCCGAAATTGGTATCACGTCTACAAAAACTGTAGTATGCAAACCAAATGGATTATCCAAGTCACTTTTAATTTTAAATTATCCGGCATGACTAAAGAATTTTTTACAACTTTGTCAGAAGATTTTTCACACCTTCTTGATCAGCCTGATGATTATAATGTATTACTTGAAATTGGAGAAGAACCCAATGTAAAAATATTTAAAACACATTCTGTAATTTTACGTACTAGATGTTCTTATTTTCGAACAGCTCTTTCAAATGAATGGATAAGAAAAGAAGGCGAAAAAGTTGTCTTTAAAAAGTCAAATATTTCTTGCACAGTATTTGAGATAATGTTAAGGTTAAATATTCCAAATATTTATCTTAAATATCTTGTGAATTCTCTTAAATTAAATCAATAACAAGTAATATCCTACATGAAATCAGATACATGTATAGTGGCAAAGCTTTATTAGGACAACTTGAGGGTTCCGAGATACTAGATCTCATCACTGCATCCGATGAATTATTTCTTCATGAATTATTTAATTATTCTCAAGAATATTTAATTGAACATAGAGTTGAATGGATGAGGCAAAATCTCGTGCATGCCTTACAAATTGCTTTCAGGCATGATGCATGTGTAAGTTTACAAAATTTTTGTTTGGGACTCGTTAATGAAAATGCATGGGCATTATTTCAATCAGAAGAATTTATTTCGATTGATGAAGTAGTCTTAATGTCGCTTTTAAAACGTGATGACTTTAATGTTGAAGAAATTGTAAGTCATATTTAACAATGTTTAAATATCAAAAACAAGTGATATTTTGTGATTTTCATACGTTTTATTGTTAGGATATATGGAATTTCTTGATAAACTGGGGAATTGAACATACACCATCAATTCTCGAACGAGATATTTCGAAATGGACATTTGAAGATTTTACACTACTAGGAACAACATTACGTAACTTACTTCCATTTGTCCGATTATTCCAGATAACACCTAAAGATTTTTATCATAAAGTTTGGCCATTTGAAAAAATTTTACAGAAAGATCTTAAAGAAGGATTATTGTCATTTTATCTTACAAAAGAACCACCGAAACATGTCCCATTACTTGAACCAAGAATTTTAAAAAAAAATATTGATTCTGAAATTATTTCTTATAATCATGCTGCATTGATTACCGGTTGGATTAATCGTAAAAATCCACAATCATTATTTGGTCTGTATTCACAAAACTTTAATTTAACAAAGTCATCATCCTCAACACCAACATATTTTGATATCAAAGATTTTAGAATTAAAGATAAAGGAGCACATGTTCCATATCGACTTCGATTGATATATAGAGCATCAAGAGATGGATTTACCTTTGATTCGTTTCATAAACATGTTGATAATAAAGGTCCAGCCGTAGTATTCATCAAAATTGGTAGTAACTACGCAGAATGTATAGGTGGGTATAATCCGGTTGGATGGTATTCTTATGGGAGTTATATAGCCACGGGAGATAGTTTTATATTTTATTTGCCATTGAATGAAGATGAAAGTCATAATAGTCATAAAATTAGTCGAATTAGACCATATTTTATAGATGGAGCAATATTTGATACGTCAAATCATGGAGCATGTTTTGGATACGGCGATATTTGGTTCGGAAATAGAGAAAGACCAAGGTATGGATCCTGTACCCGAGTTTATTATGAAAACACAATAAGGGATACAGAAGACGAATTTTATGCGGAAGAAATAGAGGTATTTCAAGTTGCGGAAAATTAGGATTGTAAGTGTTGATAATTTTAATTTTAATTACATCAAGCATTGTAACCTCCACATCT